TGGAAACGGAAGGGGGCAAAGAAAAAAGGGAGGTGGGAAAACTGGGAGACCCAAAGAAAGGCAATCAGGACGTCATACATCTGAATGCATAAATAAAATGCTATTCCAATCACTTCATTTTCGAACATTGGCCTCTCTGTCACAAAAGCATCAGTGGGAATGTGTTTTTTTAAAGCTAGTTATTCTCCAAAAGAAGAAACATTCTTTCTGATGAAGGAACTTCTAAGATCATACACACGCCATTTTCCTATCTGTTGTGCCCAAGTTGTGATGTTTATACTTCTTCTCTGGCAGTGATTCCTGCACTTTAAGAATATTGATCAATATTCCTTGTTGATATTACCTGAACAAAAAAAAAGAAAACTCTCAATGCTTCCGAAAACTGGTTTCCAATATTGTATACATAAACAACCAAGTAAAAAGTATAAAGAAAAATAAACACAATTATATTTCTAAAGCGTTAAAGTTAAGGGTCATAGCTGATCGACGCAATAAACTACAACTCTCCTGGATGGGATAGAACCCGCAAGGCACCCCTGGGGAAAACTCATATTATCAGTCAGCTGACTGGTTATGCCTTTAGCCACTATACAAAAGGTTGAAATATTCTACACTCGTGTTAGAAAGTAAAAGGCTTTTTTTAAATTCTATTTGTTTGTTGTTTTGGTTTGTTGTTTGTTAGCAGTTTGTTTTAACCAATAAAACGTCTTTTTAATTCGTCCAAGAACTGATTGTTTGGTACGTAAAGCAGATCTAAGTAAAACAAGACAAAACGTTTGAGGAAAAAATGCGATCCACATAATTATAATATGCCCTTTCAGATTTTAGTTCCCGTTAAATAGATGTCCATTTCAAACCCAATTTTATTTTGTCAAGTGAACATTGTGTACTATAGTTGACATCAGTGGTCCTCACACGCTGTCTGTTCTTTAACTGCTTAAAAACAAAACAAATCCAAACAAAATAAAAACCTAACAGCAAAAAGCAACAGTCCAAACTACATCAACAACAACAGCAACAACAACAACAACAACAACAACAACAACAACAACAACAACAGCAACAACGAAAAGAACAATAATAACAACACCACCAACAACAACAACAACAGCAGCAACAACAACAACACCAACAAAACAAAAAAGTAAAAACTCTTTGCGCTTCTTTTTTCCCCCTTAGCATGTGGTTAAAAACTCACCAGTTGCTTGACTTTTATCTGTGCCTCCCGCTTGACTCTGAAAAGCTCTGACTCGAAACTCTCTGAGGTTCTCCTGAGATCGTGCGAAAAACTCCTCTCCGCCGAGCTAGCCATACTGAGAGAGTCCTCCAGCGCCTTCTTCTCTTGCCGGAGTTCTCTCAACTCGTCCACCAGCTTAGACTTGCGGACGTCAATGTTGAGCCTCAGTTTGGCGTGACGGCTTTCTCCGAGCAGACGATGGATCATCGCGTCCTTAGCCGACAGCTCTAGGCGGAGTTTGTTGATCTCAGCGTCCTTGTGTCTGAGCAGGGGGGGAGGAAATGTAATTATCTTGTTACTTGGCAGTTTAAGCAATCAGAAAGTTCAACACAGTGACTAAAGAGATATTTAGGGGTTTCGGGGGGG